GATATAATCATCGGATGTTGCCAATAAAGTGAGTAATACAAGAAGATCCACATCTTCACCAACAATTACTATGGATTCGTAGTTATCTGAAACTTCAATGGCAGTATTCACGATGAGCGTATCTGCATCTTCAAAGGCCTGTTTGCACACGAATCCAGAGGCTTCAAGTTTTTCTTGTAGATAAGAAATTAACCGACACTTGTTCTTATCATTTGATAGAAAATTGTCGTGAGAGGACGTCGCTCTCGTCGATTCAGTAAAAATCATTTCTGGGAATGTTTGTCGTGTACTTCTTCGTAAACGTTCTGCGATTTTCGTGCTCTTGAGCAGTGCGTTGTCAGGATAACCTTCGAAAACGATAATACTTTGAGGTTGATAATATTTTTGGGCATATGAAACATATTTTGATAAAATCTCAGCGAATGTCTCTCCCTGGTGCCACACAACTCGGTGGAGAAAGAAGCCACCATCCACCACATTGATATAATTACCTAAAGTGTGAAATAATTGTAAAGCTTAGCTTTCTCTGTTTTATGCATCACTCCATCAAGGAATAATGACAATGGGAAAGGAGCCAATTCAAATTTGAAATAGTCCTTTTCACTAGAGAAATACGTTGGAATATTGTGAGGGGATCAATTGGGATGGTTTTTTCGTTTACTTTTACGGATGATGTCAACGTACGGAATGGATTAACTCTGAGGTTTTTTTTAAATTTCACATCTTTGAAATTATTCCCAATAATTGCCTTCATTGAAGAGAGACCTACCTCCAACGCTTGATGACAGTTGATATTCTCATCGCCAATCAATCCTGAACTAATCGCCATGATTTCATCAGACGAAGGAAACGGGGGATGAGAATAAAACCAATCAATAAATTTTTGAGCATCTTTATTGTCTCTTGCGATACGTGATTCTTGAGCATCAACGTGTTATTCAGTTGTAGACAACGATACTTTGCAAAACGCTTCAATTGCTTCAGTAACATCAAGGAGGACGGGCATTATCAGAATCCACTTTGATAATACACTATCTGTAATGCCACGTCCGTGAGTTAGGCCTCCAGTACTCTTCATAGATCTCATGAGAGTTTGTTCTATGGTCATATCCGACCATATACCCGACCAGTACTTCTCTGAACGTCTAATAGTGAAAAATCCTTGAGTGACAAATTTTTCATATTCTGCTGGAGCCATGTCTTCTGTCACTTTAAGCATGTCTTGTAAATACAATTGACCTGACTTTGCATACAAAAAATGTCCACTGGCGTGAAAATAAACGAGCATTTGCTGCACACTCTGTAAGTGCAATTGCCAATTCCCCGTTCTTTCGGCTTGTATGAATCGTTTTGCTAGAGTGACCATGTTAAAATATTGAACCCATAGTTCGACGTGGGCCCATTGTTTGCTAAAATACCAAGCTGTGTCGTGAACTTTGCAATAACTTTCTTAAACGAATCTGTTTCAATGACATTCAGAAGATCAGAATCATGTACCTTGTCTAATGTTTCATCGACAACCATATGATCTTCGTCAGTGTAGTCAATGAAACGTAAAACAATCTTCGCCAATGCTAAATGTGCCAATATATGAGCTCTCACAGCTCGAGCGTAAGCATGACCACTCAACATTTTTCAACAGATGCGGACGCATACACTTGAGTGAACAGATCCTTCAACCCACTGCCATTCATAATGTAACCAATTGCACCAAAATAAAACATCAAGAAATGAAAAGCTCCGAGTCGTAGAATGATCATCCTCAAATCTGAATCGGCACTGCTCGAAGATATCATATTGTGAGCTTTAAAATATAATGGCTGATCAAAAGTAACAATACAATGCTTCTGTTCCAACGCTTTCGCTTTTGCAACTGCTGTGAGTAACACGTTCAATATTGTGTCATAGTCACTCGGAGGAGCATTAACGAATGGAAGGCATACAATTCGTGATTTTTCATGTTCAAGGTCCTTGATAATGACCTCCATCAACCCATTCCAGCCTGGAAATCGGTGGGGATTTTTCCATTTACCATAAATCCAATAGAAGTCACTCGGCAGTAGCTTCACTTCCTCAGAAATTGGATTCTTCTCCTTTAAATCTTGTATTTCTCTACTCCTGAGCCCTTCCGTGTTCTTTTGGAACGCCTTCAAAGGAACGTGACCGAATTTGCCAATCATATTTGCAGATAGCTTAGTTTTCGATCTTGGAATTGCTGTGAATGGCTGAATTGAGATGGCTGGAGTAATACATTGAATTCCACCCATTGCGTGAAAAGTATTATAACCATCAATCGTGTTCACATTGTGATCAGCATTATCAAAAATGAAGTGTGAATATGAATCGATGAATTGTGGCTCTTGAGGATGCAATAATATAGATGTTTCGAACTGAACAGCATGATCGTATGAAGAAGTCAATCCCAAACTCGATAGAATCGTCAAAAGATCTTTCGATCCATACTTTTTATTCAACAATGCTGATAGACCAAGTTGCAACCAAGATAAAAAAGACCTGGGTCTCACTGCTGCAATGATTGCATGTGCAATTGCAATGATTTTCGTGTTCAACTTTTCCTCATTACCTCTTTTTCTTTTGAGAATAACAGTGTCTAAAAGCATTCTAAGGGTAGCAGGTACATCGGATTTAACGTCTCGTAAAAAATCATGTGGCGGAGGGTACATCTGGGTATCGTAGTATTGAGATCTAATATCTTCTCTAATTGTTTCTGCAGCAGCTTTAACAATTCTTTTACGTTCTTCCTCCGGGTTAGTTTGTTTCAATTGTTTCCAATAGTCTGACAATATTTTATGACCAGTATTTCGATAGAAAATTATCGGCTCAGCATTAGGGTAATTGGTGATAATTATTTCGTGTCCGAATTTTTCTAACAATTTAGCTTTGATGGTTTCCTCGGTAGAAATATCACCCTCATACTTTTCCAGTATCTCTCGTAGAGAAAATTGATATTCTTCCTGAGTTTCTTCGAGATAGGATGAAATAAAATCAATGACTGTAACAGTTTTGTCACTCACAGGCCGATGAGCAGGTCGCGTTGGATCGGAAAAACGAGAAAAATTTCTTAAACAATTAACATGATATCTGCCCTCGATAGCAACTAAATCAGTGACTGGTCTTAAACGTACTGTGACTTCTGCTGCCCATGTGTCAGATCTTGCTTTTGCATAGTCAAGTATTTTGTCCTTTATCGTGAGAGTCTCAATAATGTGCACGTTGTTGCGTTTATTGGGTGTCTTCTCCTGTTCTTTTTTGTTGAAAACATCCGATGCATCTTCACCACATAAACAATACTTGTTTTTGAAATCAAAGGCCGATGCAACGGACCGCGAACTACGTCTTCCTCCCTTCGTATTCACTTTTCCACATGCAGCAATATTATTACTATGTATGTACGAAGTCTGACATTTTTTATGCACAGATATCTCCTTCAATCCCCATAATCCAATGGATTTGTTATCTTGTCTTTTAACACTGCTCTGTATCAAAGTTTTCAAACCTCTCTCTTTTACTACAATTATATCGCCTTTAGATAATGGTTCATTACAAATGAAACACACGGTACACTCGAACATTTTTGTTTCAACTAAATCACATAAATCAGTCACTGGCACTAAGTTGTGGTCTACTGACAATTTTGTGCCAGTTTTCTTCAATTTATTTTTTCCCCCTCTTTATTTTTGCGCATTTATTCCTATTCCGTGAACTTTCGGTGCGAGTGATCCCTTTGTATTGAAAATAAAACAAACAATTCTGAGAAATTTGTATTAAAAAATAGAAATATAATTTTTTTTTCTTTTCTTGTTTCTATGGTCTACATTTGTCAATAAGGCCTATGAAAAGGCATAACCCGATATGTTCTCAATGATTAATTCCGAGAAATAACTAACTAGACGGTCAATCCAGTACTATTTGCAAGAAACTTTTTTTATTACAGTGATTTTGCGGCACAGTTATTGGTGCTACAGGAAAACTGTTAGATAAAAAGTATTCCCTCACTCAAAATATAGCAATATTGTCTTTTGACTTTCCATGTTTTCATTATTTTCTGAGATATTTGACATTGCATCGTGAAAGGCTAAAGCGCTTAGTATTGACGGGCTCGCGCGGGTGGTCACCACCGGATGAAATACGTGCAGCAGCGTCGGGCGTTCGGTGAAAGAGTCGTAGTTTTGTAAATAATGGAAATATTGCAAAAAGTCAAAAAACCGAATTTATGGATTTTGAGCGGGGGAATGTATTTAACTCATTACTTTCTTCTGTAGTTCTACTCCATGAGCCGAAAAGTCGAAAAATGAAGATCCAACGCCGGTTTTCAAGATGGCGGTCATTTCCGGTTGAAATAAAAAGTCAAAAAAATTTACAGGCATTCTCAATCCTTTAATTGAGCCATTGAAAAAAAAATTGACTTTGTCCGACTTATTTCCGAATTGGGCCATTTTTTTAACGAATTCACCTAGACTATCAATCATGCCTCGCTTCAATCAGTTCGCGTGCTGGCTTCAAGGTGTTAACACCTCAGAACGTGAAGTTTCTTAAGAGTCTCGGTCTGGCGGTAAGAAAAAGTGAAAAAAAAAATTTTTTTCTCAAATAAAAATTGTAACGTGACTCCAAACGAAACTGATGTTCTCGACCATATCCTTTCAAATTTAGGTGATTATAAAAGAGAGATATTAGAGATGATGTATGTAAGGAAACATAATGATCACACGGTGAATTTTGTTAATGATTCTGCTAAACTAGGATCTGTATATGATCGAATCATTAAGTTCCACTAGCGAACATTTAAATGTTGACTAGCATTAATGGTATGGTTTGGATGTATTTGTGAAGACTTGCGCCACCAATGCCATCTATGACTTCCTTCAGACGCTTTGATATAGGATAACATTTTGTTGTTTTCAATTCGGGACAGATGGCGCTAATGTAGCTCTCTGCAAATTTATTTCATGACTACTGTTTACATTGACTTCACGGAATTATTTGACGTACATTTGTTAAGTTGTTTTTGATAATGGAAAATTTTTTGACAAAGTTTTTTGCATACGGATGGTGTGATCAGCACTGTCAACTCATAAGGGTTTGTATCACTATGGGTTTTCAGAGCAGTCGCATTAATCGGCGATTACAATTATTTGCTACATTGGTTGTGGCATTTCTAGGTTACGGCTGCTGTTTATTTGCCACAATAATAGCATAGCGTGAGTTCTTGGAGAATGTGAATTTCTTGGAGTATATCTTATTTTAGGTGAGATTTTTTGAATAAATTTTTGTAAATTGCAGTTGAGTTCTGGCAATAGTTTCGTAGATTTATAATTATTAATTTCGTTTTTTATTTCCTTCTTATGTAGAATACAATGATGCACCTGAGGAGGAATGCTTAGAGCATTCGAAACGTAGTGCAATTTTGATTACTTAAATTTTTCTGAGTGTTTACTGCTGCTGACCTAAACATGGCCCAAAATTATTTTAACAATTGTTACGTCAAGAATGGGTTACTTGACACAACTTTATTAAATTAAAATTCAATATATTGAACCAAAGAAACCAGATTAAATTCAAAGATCGTCTCGAATTTAAGGAATAGAATTCAAACACAAAACCCATTTACAAAGGTTGGAAAGGTTCACTTGGAGTAAAATGAAAAGAATTTTGAATAACCTTAAATTGACTCAATAGAGTCTATATTTTAACAAAACAAGTAGAAAAGTATAACTACAACATTCGACTTACATTCACTGTTCTGCTTTCAGTCGTAAAGTATTTTGTATGTGGTTAAAAGTAATGCCGCACTGAATTTAAGACATTGGATTAAATTCTTTATTTAAATGAATAAAATAATAAAAAATGTCACAAGACTTGGGATTCCCGAAAATAATTTAGTCACGAAAGACTAAAATGGAAATTAAATAGTCATCCAAGACTATATGAAAATTAAAGATCGCGAAAAACCCGAAATATCGCCTTAATAGGTCGATAATAAAATTGGAACTGTGTCCAAAAGAAACTGGAGTATACTAACTCTCAGATATGAGCTACTACTACTACTGTAGCGATGACTACAAAATGCAATCGGAACTGTAACTGTCGTGCTGCTATCGCGCACAAGTCTTTATAGTTTATCTAGGAGGGTGTGTCCTCAGAATGCATAGGGGAATTTCGGGGACCAATTACAAATGACTCTAGCCGAAATTTCCCACTCCAGTGGTTTGAAATCTCCTTGTTTCGAGATCAACTCCATCTCTCTACATGAAGATGTTTTTGGGGTGTAGGCGGTCTTTTCTATTCCCCAACAACCAATGAAAATTGTTTTAGGAATGCCCATATATTCCCTCCACAATTCTCTTTTATCTCTTATTTTCAACTTAGCGTTAACATCTTTGTTATTTAATTTTTTAGAAACAATTCAGATAAATTTCATGAAATGTTATGATAAATTATTATTCATTGAAGAAAAATAATAATCTAATAGTAATTCAATAATAATTCAATGACATAAAAATATTGTTTAAACTTTAATTATTTTGTGGTTTTCCCACGTTGATAATATTTCTTAAACAATTATGATAGTTTAATTAATATCCGAAATGGAAAATTATTCATAAAAGAATCATTCTGTTGTATGATGCATTTTACTATTTTTGTGTCACATGTTCGTCAATGTTTATGTCATTTCCTCCATGTGGGAAACGAAATCGTTACTCTATTTTTATATCAAATATTTGTCGTGGGAGTTACAAAATTTGGACCCACACTCAGAATTTGTTATCAACAGTTTTCTGGTTCAAGAGTCCAGTGTTTATTGAAATTTACGGTCACACGTGGAAAGTACATGATTAAGGAGACGAGACTAGACTCAAATGTTTACAGTGCATCTGATATTGTACAGCTGATATCTCCTTAATCTAGGAGAAACTCGACGTTGGGAACATTTTTATCGTTCACAGATGTGTGCAGCCGAAATATTCCCAACATCGAGGGGGTCGCTTTCCCTCGTCACAGAAGATAATTTGGGTTTCAAAAGTCGCTTCTATCACTGAGATAATTGAATGACGACGTAAGAAAATGAATTAAAATGAATTTTCTGACGGATGTCACACAACTGTAACGTGACATTTTTTGCATGGCGGTTAAAAATGCCGATTACTTTCGCCCTTCTTCCCTTGAATCTAGTTAAACTCAAAAATTCAAAAATGTATGGGTACCAGGCAATTTTTAGCCGGAATTACCAAACCAAAGGAGTCGACAAAATCAGCTCTAACTACTCGAAAACCTCTAAAACGTACGCAAAAATGGAGAAAACCAGATTTTGGGGGAATAGTAACGAGCCTCGGTTCACTCATTATGCTAGGTAGTGGAGAGAGGGGTGGATTTCAGGTGGAAACGGGTTATTGGGCGGTCAAAATTACAAAAAAAGAAAGAGATCGACATTGTCCTTACTTGTTTCACTATTGAAATTTTCCAAACTAATTAATTTACATACTTTTACATAATGCTGTTACCGAAAAAAAAATTGCAATAATGATCAGCCTTCTTCTAACAAACTCAAAATAGTCAGATTGACTCGAAATATTTGGTCCCGACAATAATATATTATCGATTAACTCGGCCACAAAGTTGGGGTCATCAAATTCCTCAAGTGGTAATATGAAAATATTCGTTAATCCCGAAATACTCGAGAATTCCGAGAATTGGGGGAAAGGTCTGCGAATACCCGTGAGAGTGAGAGAGAGAGAGAGGAAATCAACGCAGCGATATAAGTATAATGTACGGCGGAAAATAAAAATTCAATAAAACTAAACTCGCCGTAGCGGTAAACCGGTAGAGTAAAATCCGAAAAACCCAGAGTCAAATCGCTCGGGAAAGTCTGGAGAAACCCGTGATATGAAAATTATCGATTTTGGATCGTTGGGAGCCACTCCAGATTGATTAACATCCGGAGGTAATTTTTAACGAGGGACCGCTCACGTGAAGCGAGAGCCGCAGCTTGTTGGCGCGGATGGATATTATCGGGGTGCCGTGAGGGGGAAGAATTCGTGGGGAATGCTCGAGCCGCTCTACGCTAATTTTACGTAGAGGGAGAGAAAAAACTCTCTGCTCCGGGAGCGAGAGAGAAACGAAGGCCTAAATCGGAAAATTCTCACGATTTCGACCGAGAAAAATGAAATAAACCTCAATTTTTCCTTAGAGCTTCAAATAATTACTAAAAAGAGGCCCTACGATGCCGCTGGGGCAGAACCAGACGAAAATTGCAATGCCAACCCTTCTAGGGGGAAATAAATAGATGAAAATCGACCAGAAACCCACAGATAAAAATCCGGGGACAATCGACGTTTCAAAAAAAAAAAAAATGTAACAAAAACCACCAATACATTACTCAACAGCCGTTTAATCGGATCGAAGGCCACTGCACGTGGCTGAAGGCCAACGTGAGGGAAACCACCATGAGTGGAAAACCGACGCCATGTGCAATGCCTCGGATAAAACACCGAAAACCAAGAAAAACTCACGTTTGGGGGCTTCTTGGTGATGCGACCCCTCTTCTTCACCGTTGTGCACTCCTCGAGATCCCAAAAGTACTTCGAAGTGTACACAACATAATTCAAAAAGGCACTGTTAATTTTAAGTAACACACAGTATGACACGCGACTACTACTGACGCTGGTCGACGCGGAACTAAATTCGGGGGTCAGTGTCATGACACGCTGCCCTAATAATTCCTCACCAATCGAGGGAAACTCTGATTGGCGCAGATGTTTCGCCAGCCGAGGTGTGCTTTTCGGGGGAACCACCCAGAGTGGGGGAATATTTTAATGTCCTAACCCACTGTCTCATACTTAATCGAATTTTAACATCATACTCTAAACTAAATACAATAAATACCATATAATAAACTCTAAACTTAATGGAATAAACATTACTCAATTTTCTTAACTCTTCCCTGAACAGCTGATCGCTCAGTCGATTATCCAAGGCTCTTGGCGCCTCCCATGGATCGGTTCTCCGGGATTTCACGGGATTAAAAGAAACTAAAACCCAAAACTACAATTCGCTAACTCATCGAATTTTTCTCAACTACAACAACCCTCAAAACAGCCTGGCAATGCGTTGGAAACAAAGGCTGTATTTGTTCCACGCAACCTTCCACCGAAATTCTAAACCGTACCCAATTAATTCCCGTAAAATCCACTTAATATGGAGCGCTAATATTTCAATTAGACCTAATCCTTTTCCCGTGAGATTAACAGTAGGGTAAACCCTATAAAAATTACCGGTTGACTCTAAAATATCGGCCCTTCTTCGCGATAATTTTATAGGCCCTCAAAAGCAATAATCGCACGGTTCAAAGATTTAATCCGAACTCTTCCCATTTATATAAAAAATATACAATGGTACTCTAAGTTCATATAATCAATTCACCGCACCGTAGTGGAAAACCCTTAAAAATCCACAAATCTTCGATACAGCTGTAATTGTACGTGGATACGTCCATAGTCTTTCCTTCTTTCTCGAATTTCCTAGAAACTGCTTGTCTTCCCTCGAATTGTCTGGAAACTCTTTGAATTCTCTAAAATTTTCTTGAAATTCCTTGAATCCTCTCGAATTTTCGAGAAACTCCGTGAATTTTTCGAAATTTTTAGAAACTCCCTGAATTGTTTCAAAATTTCAAGAAACTTCTCAAACTACCTCGAAATGTCTAGAATTTTCTAGAATGTCGATAGATGGCGCATTGCAGATGTCAACCTTAAAAATCTACTCGAATTTTTACCCACGATGTACCGGATTATGCTGGGGTAGTTGATTGTTCATCAGGTCGTAATGGTGTTTCATCCCATGTTCGTTACAAAATCTTATTCGCCTGTTGTATACTATGGAGGAAAGCCTGAATATCAAACTCCCTCCGGTCTTTGAGGATTCTATCGCACACTACAAGATCCATGCACATCAGCCATATACCTCGACAGCACTGGATAATAGCGATGAAATTCGAATTACTGTACAAAATCAGGATCTCTGCATTTTGCCAAGCAAATAGTAGATTTAGTCATTAGGCCGTGAGGCGCGGTCTCACGGACGAGTGTGAAGTTTGCCGCACGAGCCGAAGGCGAGTGCGGCAAACTCACACGAGTCAGAGACCAAGCTTAACGGCCGAATGACTAACACTAATTTTTGTCACAGACGTGTCAAAAACGAGGTCCTAAGAGTGTAGGATAGTGCGGAATGATAAATCACAACAGCAAATAGATATCAAAAGAAAAAAATATACAAGTATATTTGAGTATTTTTTATTTTTCTCCGCGCATGCGCTCTGACCGACACCATCGTTTTATACTCACACAGCGAGTCTTATTAAGGGTATTATGGCGGGGTCCATAGCTGGAAAAAAAACAGATGATTCAGATGATTCGATCCATTTGAAAACCGCGTGCAAAATGTCAAGATCCCTACTTAAACAATAATAATGGGAA